ACTACCCCCAGCCCACTCCAAATACCCTCACCCAACCCGCCCCACTTCACCACCCCACCCAACCCTACCGCTCTAGCCCACAGCCTCGAGAACCTCACCCTCACCCACACGAATCCCATCTGGTTCATGGACACCGGAGCATCCCACCATATCACCTCTGACCCAGGTACTTTATCTCATGTATTTTCTTCAAACATTACATCACCTATGCATATTATTGTTGGTAATGGTTCTAAAGTAAGCACTACTGGTCACGGTAATGGTACCCTACCCACTTTCCCTCCCCTCCCCCTAAACAATGTCCTTATTTCCCCACATATCACACATAACCTCATCTCTGTCCGTCAATTTACTCGTGATAATAATTGCACTCTTGAATTTGATTCATGTGGTTTCTCTGTTAAGGACAACCTGACGGGAGCCGTGATTCATCGATCCAATAGTGACGGACCTCTCTATCCCATCTCTCAAGTCAACTCCAGCGCCCAGCTTCATCTAGCACAAGTTGATCTTTCTACCTGGCATCGCCGTCTTGGACACCCCAGCCCAGCTGTTCTCCATGGAGTATCTCATTCTTTAGATAGATTAGCTAAATCTAAATTAGATTTTTTATGTCATGCATGTCAACTGGGCAAACATGTTCGCCTGCCTTTTCAATCTTCAAGTCGTATTACTACTTTTCCTTTTCAATTAATGCATACAGACTTATGGCAATCTCCTGTTCCTAGTGTAACTGGTTTTAAATTTTATATGTTTCTACTTGATGATTTCTCCCATTACTTATGGATCTTCCCTCTGCATCATAAATCTGATGCCTATTCTCATCTCGTAAAATTTCATGCGCTTGTTAAGAATCAATTTAACACCACCATCAAATCTGTCCAGTGTGATAATGGCACCGAATATAGAAACACCCCACTTGCCACATTCTTCGAATCTCTAGGTATCCTCTTCCGCTTCTCTTGCCCCTACACCAGCCAACAAAATGGGCGTGCTGAACGAACCATCCGCACCTTAAACAACACCATTCGCACCCTGCTCTTTCAAGCTAATCTCCCTCCCGAATTTTGGGTCGAAGCCTTACATATGGCTACCCACCTCTTTAATATCCTTCCCACCACCACTCTAAACAACCGCACCCCTCATGAAGCCCTTTATCGCACCCCTCCGTCTTACACTCATCTTCGCGTCTTCGGCTGCCTCTGCTATCCTAACCTCTCTGCTACTGCCCCCCAAAAACTAGCACCCCGTTCCGCTCGGTGCATCTTCCTTGGTTATCCCGAGTCTCAGCGCGACTATAGGTGCTTGGATCTCACCACTCATAAGATCATTGTCTCTCGCCATGTCACCTTTGATGAGTCGTGCTTCCCCTACGCCCCTCAGTCATCTCCCTCTTCATATGATTTTCTAGACACCATGGAGGACAGCATTCCCCCCATCAGCAACACCTCCTGAGTCAACACCCACGGTCCCCCCACCATACGTCCTCCTCCC